TCGAACCTTTTCACGGCGACTGCGGAGGCAAACTCAAAGCGTTCAATCAACAAGCATGGAAAGTGAGGACCGCAACAAGTAGGCTCTTAGCTTACATAAGTAGCCTCACAAGTAGCTAAACTACCCGGAGTGCAAGAACACCCCCCTCGCCGTGTGCGTGAGCACTAAGGCGCACACAGTAGCACGCAAAAGAAACAGGCATACCCTTGCGGGTAGCTTCAGGTGTGCTTTTGGCGAGCGTAGTTAGCGAACATCTTTCTACAGGGTCCTGCACGGCATCACGCTGTGAGATCACTGACCCCAGTATCGGCGCCATTCAGCAGCCGAATACCAGTTGCGGCCGTAGTAGCCTCCATACTGCCAACGCTCCCAGTCTGCATCCGTCCAGCGCTGGGTTGGAGCAGCGGGAGCAGCTTTTGATTTGGCTTTTGAAATCTCGGACTGACGTGCACGGGCTGGCTGATCACTTCGGACCTTGGCCTGAGCAGGTGCATAATTAGCCAAGATCAGATCGCGAATCTCGGTCTTCAGGTCATCGAGGTTAGCGGCCTGCAAGCTGACCAAGCCTTGAAAGGTCAGCACCTTGCGGGCATCCTCGTTGCCGAGGGTCAAACCAGCAAATGTGGGCACGTCCATAAAGGTGCCGTGCCAGCCCACACCCATGTTGACGGTCATTTCATCATCCGCCAAGTTCAGGGCCTTCAGCTCCTCGAGGGCAATGCCGTCGTAAATGACAAGCTTTGCGTTGACTTCCGAACGGGAGGCTTGGAAGTCAGCGTGGCTGCCTGCTCCGAGGATGACCTGTTGGCGGGTACGACCAGGTGCGGGCAAGTAGCCGGTGGCGTACACCTGAAGACGACGCATGTCTGCTCGCGTCAATCCGTTCTCGGCCTGTCTGGCTGCGAAAGTTGGGTCATTGTCGAACCGATCTGCCAGGCTTCGGAAGTTCGTGCCCTTGATTTTGAGTGCCCGCTGGACTTTGTCCTTGGCTTTGCGAATCGTATGAGCCTCATAACTCATCTGTCCGCGTTCCTCTTCCTTCGTGTGCCTCGCCAGCTTTCCCAGCTCATAGGGACTGATGTTGTGGACCGACACGCCGACAGTTGCCAATCTGTCTAAGATGCGATTGCGGCGATGGGCTGCTTGGATGAAGCGCCGGTCTTCTCCCTTAGAGTCTGAGAGGCGGTGGCGGCAGCGGATGCAATGATGCTGCCCCACAAAACACTCTGCTTGGCATGTAGGACACGGGAAGATGGACGGCCCCGTCATCACGAAGGGATTCTCCGGCTCGGGGACATTGGCAGCAGCGTCCTCCACCGTCATATGTGAAGCCGGCGGAGTCCTTGGCTGGACCTCCACTTCCACGTACTCATCGACTGGCTCTGCCATTGGCGCATCTGTTGAGGGTAGGCTTTCCCTTGCGGGAAGCTGCCGTTTGCGCGATGGCAAGGTGAAGCCAGCGGAGCCACTAGGAACTTCAGGAGCATCATCGAGGCGCAGGGAGTAGAGCACCTCCTCCTTGACAGTGTCAGTGATCGAGATGATCGCTGAGGGAGCGCACGGCTCGCGGCATAGCACGCCCTCGGAGCGGGTGGTGAAAAGGAGACACCCGCTTTTGAGGAGCTTTTCCGTATCCCATTTTATCTCGATGGGTGCGTATGCTCGAACTCCAGATCGATAGGCATCCGATGACACAGGGCAAGTTGCGAAATAGTTGTGGATCCGGCCGCTGCTCTGGGAGCCTGCGAGTAAGCCCCCCTGAAGGATACTTTGGAAGCTGTCTCGACTCGTCCGGTGGTAGAGGATCTTCGGGACATCCTCGTAACAGACGATAGGCACACCCTCGCGGGTGGCTGCCGAGTCGGCCTCCGACTTGTCCAGGAGGGAGTAGTAGGCGGATGCAATCGCAACATCAGTGTCGGGGTTCTTGGCGATGGCAGCGTTATGGCTTTGCGTGGCACGGATGATCACGGGGAAGTAGGCCTGGTTGATGGCTTCTTTCCTCTTGATGTCTATCCCCCTCATCTCCAGCCTGCCTTTTCGGTCTTCTGCCACCATCTGGATCACTTGTCGGATGCCCCAATGATGTTTGCGGGCCTTGTTGAAGATATCCAGGCATTTCTCAATGCTGACCCAGAGACCTTCATCATGCTTGAGCTCGGGGAAGTCTTTCGTGAAGTTCCCTCGAACAAGCCCCGTGAAGAAGAGCAAATCTCCATGATGGAACCAAAGGCGCTTTTGTGGCTTCTGCAGCGTGTCCTGGGGCATTTCATGCAGGACAAAGTTTCCACCTCGGAAACTGAACGTCTCTCTTGCTGCCTCCAGGACCACTTCCTCTTCGGTTGGTGGAGCGCCATACATCTCCTCGATGATGAGGTCCTCGCCTTCGCCGGTGCGTTCCAAGTTGGAGGCATCCCCTCGCGGGGAGCTAGCAGCGGGCTCGGCCTCAGGCTCCACCTCGCGCAGCGCCTCGATCATATCGAGCGCCTCATCAACTGTCTCTCCGGCGGCGACGAAGTTGGTCTCCCCGTCGTTTTCCACGGGAACAAGCTCGGTGTCGGGGAGGATGAATGGTGCCTCGAAGTCCAAATCGCCCTCGGCGAGATCCCTCTGCATGTCCCGCTTGATCTCGGCACGCCTCTGTTCGATCTTCCAGTGGGCCGTGGGGATGTTCCTGTCAGCCCTCTCCCACCTGAGATCGCCAGAGGCT